GCGACAGCAGCCGGAGCTGCCCCAGGGGAGCCCCTGCCCCGGGGAGCGGCGGGGAGGCAGCGGCTCCGGGCTGGCGGAGGCTGCGCCTCGCAGCACCCAGCAAGGAACGTGGTGACCCTGACCAGGTGCCTGGGCCTGAGCAAGCAACATGGTGACACTGCCCTCAGCCAGGGGCCTGGCCATCAACCGGCGCCGCAGTGGTGACCGTGACCAGGGGCCTGGGCCTGAGCAAGCAACATGGTGACGCTGCCCTCAACCACGGCCACAGTGGTGACCGTGACCAGGGGCCCGGCCCTCAGCCGCATGGGGCTGCTGCTCTTTCAGAGCTGGGGCTCCCCACGCTGCCCGCAGCCATCGCTCCCCTGTCGCGTCAGAGAGCAGCCCCTGCGGCTCACAGATCCCAGCATGAGCTCAGGGCCGAGCCCAGGCGCTGTCCGTGCACTGCGAGAGCCCTGGAGACACCCCTCAGCTCTGACACAGCCCCGGCCTCTCCTGCGGGGCCAGAGAAAGCCACTCTTGTTAACAGTGCATGCAGAAAAAGCAGCTTCATTAACTTAGGAATTTTAAACCCCAATAATCTATTTTTTCCCCTATTAAAGAACATATCCCAGATTTTTCCTCCCGTCCTGGTCTCACCTTAATTCATTAATTCACCACACTCAGATCTTGCAACGAGAACGGCCGCATCTTTTCTCCACGTCAGGCACAAGAAAGGCCTCTTAAATTGCTCAGTACCAAAGAAGGGAGCGCACAGACCCACACGAGCCAGCCCTCGTGCCCTGCGGTTGTGCCGCGAGACGGGCTGCCTGGCACAGTTGGCGCGTTCTCACCTCGCCACGAAGCACATGCAACACATCTCCGCTCTGCATCTTAATGGGGCGGGAGATGCTGCCTGCAAAAGGCGGCTGAGAACGGGGGCTGCTACGTTAAAATAGGCTTAAGATGTGGGGATGGCTGAATGGTGGGTCTTCATCCTACGGGGGCAGGGGAAAGGAGGTTTTATAAAGCTCACAAGTGGCTTTAAAGCATGATGGTTTAAAAAACCAACCTAACTACTTTTTAAAAAACACCTGAATTTTATTTGAATTTCAAATACTTTGACTTTTTACTTGAATTTTTTTTGCACTTAATTTTAAAGCCTGATTTACTACAGAACTCTGTCAAGCATGATCGTACTGTTCACTGGAGACAAAGTGCGGCACAACGCACCTGAACGCTCAGGTAAGGCTTGCTGGGAAGCAGCACCAGGAAATCCCATGGCCTCTCAGGTCAGTCCATGCTGACAGAAGACACACTGATTTTATGAAGTGGTTACCACGGCTTTGACCAGCCAGAACACAGCATCTCCTGCTGCTATTTTCTGATTCGAGCTTCTCCAATGTAATTTATTAGTTTCTACAGTACCCGGCTCCAACGTGTAAACAGGGAGCTATAAATAAGCACGAAGGAACAAGGCACGAGCATGTTAATGTTTGCATATGTGTTGCTTGCAGGTCCCATATTTCATCCCAACAAACAAACACCACGACAAGATACACAAAGCCATTAGGCTGCGCCTAGGAGCGCTCGGATGGCGCGTTTATCAACGCGACGATAATGCCAGTGCAAAGCTGTAGTTAAGGTTATGCGTCAGGGCTTCTATTAGCAAGAGATTACAACTTGGCAGGAAAAATATTGACTGAAATTCTGCACTCTGGCTTTTAACTGAGATCCGAGGGGCAGTTTGGTTTTCTTACTTACCGGAGAAATCTAAAATAGACCCAGCCTGAAAAGCACGCAAGAAAAACATGCAACGCAAAACAAAGCAGCCTGTTTAATCCATTAAGGAATTTCAAATCAAAGCCTCAAGGACTTCAAAAAGGCAACGACACTCTCATAATCAAACTGTAACTTCCTAACTGCTGCTAATATGTCCCCTCTGAGGTGATGCTGCAATCAGGTCTAGAGCAAATGTATTTTCTACAAAAGTATTTTCTCCTTCTATTATTTCATGCCCTTCCCACAACTCCCAGGTGGCTAATTAATAAAAAGTCTTTTGTAATGCAATATATTTACAAACATACACAGACTGTTTCTGTTCTGTTCTCAGTTCAGACCGCATCCAAGAACAGAAAGTTCCTCTCTCAAAGCTCTCCTTAAATTATGAGCACATAAAAATCAAAGTTATAATGGAAATCCCAGTGCAATTTTCACTACATATTGTGCTATCATGAAAGGGATAAAGTTAGAGCATATTTTTAAAAAGGCCTAAGATTTTGCAGGCAGTTGCCAAATTCAAGCCATCATCTTCCGAATTCAATAGGCCTCAGCTAGATTCACAGCTAAACGTGGCTAAAAAGTTTGTTGGAGTCTTAACAGTTAACAGCAAATAAAGCTAAATGCGGAAAGCATCTTTATTTCTTAAATTTCACAAGATTAAAAAATTGTGTCAGCTGCTCTGAAAAGGAAATGAGATTTGGTTGCATCTGCAAAGCTCCTGTTGGCGTGCAACACACATTTAGAGATTGCCCCAAACTGTAATTTTTTTTAGCCATCAGACATTGTATATGCCTATTGGCTGAATTTCAGTACATAGAGTACATTTTATTAAAACCTTGGCTGGGTTTTAACATTATATTTATGTGTATACAGCGCAAATAAAGATATTTGCTGATAAGGTTAAAAGCTACAGATTGTCCTCTAGGAACAGGACTGTCCTGATAGCTTCCGTAAGGTGACACTTAAGTGTGGTTTAAGCTAAGGATAGAAGGCAGCTCTTACAAATTACAGGTTGCCTTATTCCCAAAGAGGGTATGCGGCTATAAGGGCACAGCAAGGCTAATGTCTCTTGCATTTGTAGCTTCAAAGGAGCTGTAGGTGCTCAGGGAGCTGCGTGGTGGAGAAGCAGGTGGGACAGAGAGGAGGATGCAGGGCGAAGGCTCGAAATTCCTCAGTGTAAGAACTGCCATTCCCAAAGGAACTCACCAGGAGCTAGGGCTGGGTTGAGCACTGCGCCCCAGCGCAGCTGGTGTGAGAGCTCTGCAAAACCCAGGGCGCTGGCAAAGAGGAACCGTGAGGAGAAGGGCCCCGTCAGGCCCGTGGCGTGTTCCCACAGCCCCGGGGAGCGCCGGACACGCTCCAACCTCCGCTCAACTTCCTGCACTTTATTGTTTCCTGTCACAGCCATAACTCTGTTTCATGGGGGGTTTTAATTTTGAGGGAGCCAGCAATTTCACCCGCAGCATGAGATGCTTGTGCTGCTGTTCATCAGCCCAGCTAAGAGCAAGCTTGCAAAAAGCACCCAGCTGGCAAACCCACTGCAACGCAAGCCCCTCCGTGCGGCTCCCCGGGCGTTTCTGCACGTGGCTTTGCAGCGTCAACGTCACTTTGGACACACACGAGCAGCAGCAGCACGTTGGGAAAACGCTCCGTCGCTCCTCACCTGCCTTTTGCCTCCCTGAAGTTTACTGCTCTGGGCCCAACTCGACCTTTTTCATCTGTTTATTTTTCTTACCAACTGATTTCAATGGAAAAATTCAATGCTGACAAGACAGAACTGCCCTCTGCAGCTCTGTGGTATTTGGAAAATGAGGTTATTTTTCATTGCACTTTCTTATTCTTGTTGAATGCAGTATGGAAATGTAAATATCTTGAGGTGGGGGCCATTAAGATACCAGTCTATACTGAAGACATTAATGCTCTCATTAGACATTCACGCCACCTTTTTTGAGTACTCTGCTGGGCATCTGCATAGATAAAAATCATATATCACCTAACAACACACGCCTGCAAGATCAAATATCCTGGATCAACAGAAGATGACGAGAACGACATCAGCTGGGAGATTAAAGGTTGCTGCACGTTTTGCTTCCCCTCCCTACAGCCTCACTTCCTTTTCCTTACAAAACTGCAAAAAATTAAACCCGACTCAAACCGTGCGGGAAGGATTTGAGGCCAAAAGCTCGACGGGGATGTGGGGCGGGCACTGCAACCTGCTCCGTGTATCCCTCACCATTGACACAGGGAAAATCGTGCGGCGGCCTTCCTCGAGGGAATGCCGGCAGATCCCGAGCGGACAGCGATGCCCTTCCGCAGCGCTGCTCCAGTGCCTTTTGTTTGCAACAATAGATCTCCCCGGGCACCTCTCGCTTGCTCCAAATATTGGTATTAAGTGAGCACGAGCACAGCTGTGTGTAAATTACGTATATAAACAGATTAGATTTGTATATTTATACTGCATGCAAACACATTAATAGCACATTTGCATACACAGTTGGCTAAATGAGGTTGCATGCAGAGTGGGATTACTAGTTGCAAGCACGTTTTCCAAGAAAGGATTCATACTGCCACTCGGGAGGGCCAAGTGGATCCACCACCCCTTTTGCAGGGCATAAAAACACCCTCATTCCCCTGCTCTGCGCATCTCGCCGGGCCCTGGGAGAACAATCCCTTTGGGAACAAGCTGCCCAAGGTAAGGATTATCCATGTTTCCTTTGCATTGTTTGAGGGGAGCCAACGCTTGGCGGGCGCAGGATCTGGCACATGGCACGACCCGCTCACCAAATTCTTCCTTTCCTTCCTGCTCTTAACATCAAGGATTGATAGGGAAAAAAAATAAAATCCACCCGAGAGGCAACCTGATATCGAAGGTGACACGAGAGC